AAGCGATTCTACTTTAAAAAAAGTAGAAAGTTCATTCCAATTTCCATTTAATCTTGGAAAGGAGATCATCAGGATCTATGATTTTCTTGGATGCTGATATTGCACCAAATTCACTTTTGTTTACTAGACGCGTGCTGCCATCTCTTGAAAAGCCTTTCAAGTGTTTCGGGATGATAATTCTAACGAATTTATTGATTTAAAACGTGTGAAATAGTCGAAGTCGCTCTTGTCTGTCTATCACGCTTTACCCTCTTAATAATTGTTTTTTAACTGAAAAATTACAGTTTGTTTTGTTTCTATTTTATCGATTATTCGAAATGTAAAGATTCTGTGTTCGTGTGTTTTATTTAAAGTAATTTGTGCAATTTAAAAGAGTGCGCGCAACGCGACACGACGACGCGTTGCACTTAAGAAATAAAAAGAAAAAAAAAATTAAATCGATTCGTTTAAAACGATTAAAACGTTTCTCAAATTGTCTTTAAATGTAAAAATATATCGTAAAGTATTTTTAACAATTTTTCTTTCTTAATTTGAACCGATTAAGATTTATTTAAATAAAGGGGTAAGCGAAGCGACGTCGCGTCGCTCCGCATATCTATCTAAACAAATCTCTATTATTAAAAATTTGAAGTAACAAATACACAATTTTTTAAAATTCTTGATTAAAAACTCGATTTTATACCGTAAAATCGATTAAAAAAATAATGACCAGTATCTGAATCTTGTTTTTTTAATCTTTGTTAACTATCTTTAACATTTATTATCTACAGTTGGAAAACTACTGCATAAATGACTTTTCTATGAACATTAAATTTATCTATTAAATATAATTTTATATGTTATACAACTCTTTCAATATTATCTGGATAATTATGAGACGTTTTACTATCCCAAAGATGAAGCAACGTTCCATTCAATTAATATCGCCTGACGGTGCGAAAATAATCAATAAAAGCGTAACAAGTATGACAGGTTATCATCGAATCCCTTTACAAAATCTAAAAATAAGTAATCTGCAAACTTTCTTAAAATAAAATTTTCTCTACTTTCTCTTAAAGATAAGAATTTTAAAATCTTTATCGTGTATTTTTAATTATATACTTTTAATATGAACCGAGTATTTATAGTTAAAAAAAAATTGCTTTACCCGCTCCTTTCATGTTTTAATCTTGATTTGGTAGAAGATTTAAGACCCAAAGTTTAAGAATTCTTCTTCTTAACAATAGTTGAAATCCTTCTTTTCATCTGTTCTGGTTGTAAAGTTTTATCTAGATTGTTCTTGATCCCAGTTGATGATGATGCGGAAGAAATTGAAGATCTTGATATGAGGCTTTAATAGCTTCATATCAAGATCTTCAACTTTCTCGAAAAAATCAGTTAAATGCTATCAAGATCATATAACTTAATCATATTTTCTTTAATTATTTCATAATATTGTCGAATTTCGAAATGAAATTTTCCACTCTTTTAATTGTAACAATATTAATTTTTAATTTAAAATTTTTTCAGATGATTACTTTAAAAAAAAAATTAAATTTTGAGATGAAAAAGTTTCCTTTAAAGAGTTTAATAAGCACAGTTTATCATTTTGTAGCGATTCTTAATACAATTAAATCAATTTAGAAACAAAACGTACTTAATTTGCATTATTTAAATGGATTTTAGATAGCTTTTATTGTCAAAAACGCACTTATGCACTTAAATAGCATTATAATTGAGCATCCATAACCTTAGATGATGCTCTCCAACATCACTTCATCGTTAAGAACTGTATTATCTTGGTACTTAAATTCTGTAAAAAATAATTTAATTTAACGAATAAATAATGTTTATTTTTCAAATTTAAAATGTAAAATATGCCAAAATATTAAAATTTTATTTAAAAATAAAATAAAATAAAAAACAGTTTAAGTTTTCAATGATAACACTTCCAGAATAAACTGTTGTCGCCATCTAGGAGGAGAAATTGGAAATATTTAATAATAATTTTTCTATGTAATTTGTTTTTTACAATTATTAATTATTCAGTAATTTAATACGCACAACACTTAATTGCTTTAAATTATTTGAATATTTTAAAAATCTCAGTTATTAATTTTAAAATAGCTAATACCTGTTTATCTTTCAAAGCCAATTTTTTTGTTATTTTTTGAAAATTAATAAATNAAACAGTTGTGTGTGTTTATATATATAAAGTAAATATAAAAAGAAATGATAATTATATTTTAAAAATTTGAATATAATTAACACGAAAGTTTTTTGAATGTTTTACTGTTTTATTTGAACTTTACGATATGTTTGACTGACAAATTAATAGGTGGATCATTTCTATAAGACATTTTCGAACATTTCGTTCTTAATAATTGCACATTTTCATCCACACCCGTTACATCAAATGGATTATTCCTTATAACGATATTACTGCATTAAAATGCTCCACCCCTCACAATTATAGACGATGATTGATAAAATATTTAAAGGAACCATTTTAAATTTCTAAAAAAAAAAAAAAATTATAATCTCACTTTAATATTCTATAGAATATTCGTGATTTTGATTTATTTATTTTTTAATCAAACTTTTAAGTTATTTATATTTAAATATATACCTGAAAATATTTTGTTACTATATTAGTTCGTACAGCACGACGATATAAAGGTAAAGGAGGACGAAAATTATCAGCTAATGTCGTTTTAGGATTTACAATTTCTCCTTGGACCAGTCTCCGGATAGAATATAACTTTTAAAAATATATATATTTATATTAAAAAAATATGAATTTAAAGACCAATTTAGTAGTAAAAAAATCAAAAATAAATATATATAGATATATATGATTTATGAAGAAAGAACGAAATTTTATTTATTTATTTTTATTAAATCTATAAATTTGTCAAAATATATTAAATCTAGATAGGATGGGAATATTTTTTTCCCTGAGAAACTTTATTGTTCCCTGAAGAATGTGATGCATTAAAATAGTTCAATGAATGGTCAAACAATCGAATTTATCAAGGAACGATCCAACTAAGTAATTCCTGAAAGTTCGAAAACTTGAGAATTCCTCTCTAAAAATGGCTTTAGGCAATACAATTGTTTGGTTGGCTTATCTTTAATGCTTATTTGTGGCATTATTACTGATTTTCATTATCTCGAATATAAGTTAAAGTTTTCGGGCTTTTATATGAGGTAGATTATCCTATAAAACGCGTATTAAAGTATAATTTTTCAATTCTCTTCTATGAAGTAACAGCTAATCCACAACCTATACAATATAAGAGGATTGATTAATATTTTCCTTGTTATCTCTTGAACTATTTGGATTTGATAACAAATTAATTGCCATTAAAATCTCGATTTTTCTTCATAAATCATTACAAGTATTTAGATATATTCGACTGTAAATATCTTATAAATTCTTAAAAGCAAATTAATTTATATAAAAGATTTAATTTAGTATATTTCCTACAAAATTTAATACTTTTATATTTATATCTAGACATATATAATGACATTCTTAATGAACTATAATTAAATAAAGTGCACGTGTACGAAAAGCTATTAGATTCACGTGTTTTGAAACGTGATTAAAAATAATCGATTTGAAAATTTAAAAACCAATGACGTAAGAAATAAACAAAGGCGCGTGCTTAAATCTATTTAAATCATCGAAACTTGATTAAATGTATGAAATATAACGCCTTAAAATTTAATTAAATGATAGCGCGTGCTGTTAAATATAATCAACTGCGCGTGCTTAAACGTAATCAATTAAGCAAACAATGCGCGTGATCTAAATCGATTAAATATATCGATCCAACGTTTTCTGAAGATAAATAAATTGAAAAAAGAAAGAAAGAAAGAAAAGAAAAAAAAGAAAACAAATTTAAATTAAATTGAAAATATTTAAAACGTAATTCTTTTTTATTTTTTTATTTCAAATTTATTTTAAATCGTGAAGTGTAAGTTAAACAAATTATATAGAAATTTTAAAGATTATTATTATTATTATTTTGTAAAGGAAATTCACTTTATAACTTATTTAACAATCGATTGCATAAATAATGTTTGCAATTAATATGATGACATTTCCTGCTGAATAATAGCAATAATAAACAATAAATTTGTAATGTTTGAAAATGTCAAAACAAATAAATTACTAGTACATAAAATTGATTAAACACGTCATTTCAATCAGCGTGAACATGACTCCAAATGGATTAAATCATTCTTGTAAACAATATACTTTCTAAGAATTTATTGAAAATGGGTGTATCCAAATCTTTTACAATATCGAAATTAATTTTATTCTAATTAATGATCGTAGATCATTTGCATCATTTTCTCCCATTGTAAAGATTCTTCAATTTATAATTAATGAAAAATAATAATATAATTTATTTTCACTTACTTCAAAATTTATGGTAAGTTCGATATCACGTTGCTTGCTTAAAAAAAAAAAATAAATATAAATATAAATAATTTAAAATGTTAAATATATATATATATATATANAGAAAAAAGTAAAAATAAAATATATAGAAGAAAGACTTGGCTTTGAATAATCGTTTCTACAAAATGTTGTGGTATCAAGCGGAAACTTTTTACAGTTTTCTCTCAAACGGGTTAGAATTGTTAAATATATATATATATATAATTCTTTCTTTTTTATATAATAGATTATAAAGTATATCTTCATAAATTAGACAGGTTTAAATTAGAATAAATTTTTTCTTTTGTTGAAGAGGAAAAAAAATATATATTAAAATTCTTCAATTATTCAAAAAAACATAATTTATCTTTGAATAAAACATGATTGAGTAACGATCACTATTAAGAAGCTATTTAAAAGATAATTTTTTATACATTATCTTCAAATTTCAGGAATATTAGTTAAACTAATCTAGTTACTTACCTTTATAAATTACATTCTTTTCTGATGCACATTCGTTTCCCTGTAAAATATATGTTTTAAAATATGTTAAACAGTTGTGTGTGTTTATATATATAAAGTAAATATAAAAAGAAATGATAATTATATTTTAAAAATTTGAATATAATTAACACGAAAGTTTTTTGAATGTTTTACTGTTTTATTTGAACTTTACGATATGTTTGACTGACAAATTAATAGGTGGATCATTTCTATAAGACATTTTCGAACATTTCGTTCTTAATAATTGCACATTTTCATCCACACCCGTTACATCAAATGGATTATTCCTTATAACGATATTACTGCATTAAAATGCTCCACCCCTCACAATTATAGACGATGATTGATAAAATATTTAAAGGAACCATTTTAAATTTCTAAAAAAAAAAAAAAATTATAATCTCACTTTAATATTCTATAGAATATTCGTGATTTTGATTTATTTATTTTTTAATCAAACTTTTAAGTTATTTATATTTAAATATATACCTGAAAATATTTTGTTACTATATTAGTTCGTACAGCACGACGATATAAAGGTAAAGGAGGACGAAAATTATCAGCTAATGTCGTTTTAGGATTTACAATTTCTCCTTGGACCAGTCTCCGGATAGAATATAACTTTTAAAAATATATATATTTATATTAAAAAAATATGAATTTAAAGACCAATTTAGTAGTAAAAAAATCAAAAATAAATATATATAGATATATATGATTTATGAAGAAAGAACGAAATTTTATTTATTTATTTTTATTAAATCTATAAATTTGTCAAAATATATTAAATCTAGATAGGATGGGAATATTTTTTTCCCTGAGAAACTTTATTGTTCCCTGAAGAATGTGATGCATTAAAATAGTTCAATGAATGGTCAAACAATCGAATTTATCAAGGAACGATCCAACTAAGTAATTCCTGAAAGTTCGAAAACTTGAGAATTCCTCTCTAAAAATGGCTTTAGGCAATACAATTGTTTGGTTGGCTTATCTTTAATGCTTATTTGTGGCATTATTACTGATTTTCATTATCTCGAATATAAGTTAAAGTTTTCGGGCTTTTATATGAGGTAGATTATCCTATAAAACGCGTATTAAAGTATAATTTTTCAATTCTCTTCTATGAAGTAACAGCTAATCCACAACCTATACAATATAAGAGGATTGATTAATATTTTCCTTGTTATCTCTTGAACTATTTGGATTTGATAACAAATTAATTGCCATTAAAATCTCGATTTTTCTTCATAAATCATTACAAGTATTTAGATATATTCGACTGTAAATATCTTATAAATTCTTAAAAGCAAATTAATTTATATAAAAGATTTAATTTAGTATATTTCCTACAAAATTTAATACTTTTATATTTATATCTAGACATATATAATGACATTCTTAATGAACTCCTATATTCATTTACACACTAGAAGTTTGTAAAATACACTAAAACACAAGAAGTTTGTAAAATACTATAAAAATGATCGGTATAGGTATAAAATATTGGATTTAGAAAAGGTATAGGTAGGGATACTGAGGTATAAGTATATGAATTATATATAATACACGTACAAAAAAATATTGATTTTCATCATCTTGCCACAGTTTCTCTTAGAAAATAGAAAATTTAACCACTCTAATTATGCATATAAAAACTTTTTAAACTCTCAAACGTTTTGGATTTGGTAATTTCAATAAGATTTCATAAAAGAATTAAGGTTAAAGGTCATCTTATAATCTCATTAGGCAACTTTCTTCTATTTGAAAGAAAAAAGTTAAAATGTCAGTCGGCGGAGGAAGATACACATAAATCTTACATTTCCAATACAATAACTCTGCATTTAATAAATCTTAATTCATGAAAAGTAAACAGAGAAAACTTCTGAATAATTTTTCTTATATTGGAAATAATTTTCTTTAAAATAAGATACGGAATATCGATTTTTAGTTTGCATAGCTATAAGTTATCATTAATAACTACAATGGAGATTATATCAACAATCATACTTATCCAGTTGATAAATGGAATTTTATGAGAAAAGCTTGAAAACTTAATATATAAATGATCTTTAAAAAAAAACTTTTAAAAAAATCATCTTTATTAATCGTTATCTCATTTGAATTCCAAACATTTCTCTGTTTATATGATTTTATAATGCAAATTAGAGTTGGATCAATGCAAACGTTGGATATGATGCTACTAATCATTCGACAAAAATATTCTCAACTCACTCTCTTTGCATAGAGTTTATCGATTTTCAAAAAAGATTTATTTATTTTGTCTACTTGTGCAAATTTGGTTATAAAATTTCAAAAAAAAATAATAATCAATTTTTAAATTATCGATAATTCGAATTTCTAAGAAAAACTATCTTTTAATTATAAACACTTACAAGGAGTTTATTACACTATAAAAATATGTTAAAAATAATTAAATAATTAAAAATTTAACAAGTTTTACTTCTAGTAAACTATGTTTGATTAACGAAGCATTAAAGTATGTCTTTGAAAAATATCTTTAAATAATCTAAGCCGAGATAATAAAATTTTTGAAAAAATTATAAAAAAAAACAATAAAATAAAAAATATCCATCACTTAATTAATCTTTCGGACATTTTAGCCTGAAGTTACTTTTTATCAAACTTAAATAACACGTTGATAACAAAAAATATATCCCTTTTTTTTTACATTGCCTATAGGAAAAATGCCTTTGGTTATTAACTCTCGCAATCTTCTCTCTTACAAAATTAACATCATAAGATACTTATTATGAATTAAATGAATTCTTTCTGATGTTTCTCTAAGCTAATGACATTTAATTCATTAATTCTTCTTTAATAAAGTTTATCTCTTACCTGTTGTTTCGTTATATATATGGGTTTGTTCATAATGATCCAAGTTACTGTCTCCTGACAAGCTGGCATTGTTAGTGATCCATCATATGTTACGTAATGGCTAGTGTTCGGTAGCAAACCTCGAAAGGAAATGTGATTTACTTGAGCTGTTTGGCCTGAATTAATATAAAAACGATTTCTATATAAAACTAGAAAGAAGACAGCAATTTATTCTACTTTCTCTTTTTAAATTAATATTTAATCAAGCAAAAAAATTCTTGAGTTTTATCTATAATCGTGATTTTAGCTTTATAAGAGCAAAATTATTTATCACATTCATTAATAATTTGCTTTAGTAACACTAAAGAAAGTTATACTTAAGTTTTGATCACGAGTTTCATTCTTTAATTATAGCATTAAAATATGGCACTCTCCATTATCCCAAATATCTTTAACTCTTCCAAAAGTCTTCGTTAATTATTCTTATATATGAATGAGATTTTTAATTCAAATTTAAACCTCAAAAAATGTATTTTTAGTCACTCTTCAACCTTGATTCAAGTTTGAAACAAGATTTAAAAGGTGATATTTAACGCTTCTAAATACAAATAAAAGCAATAATTACTAAAAATACTCAATCATTTTCATAAGATTCCAAGTCTGTATTGACTATTTGAGCATCTTTGCCACATCTGAACCTTCAAAGAGACTCGTCATTGATCACTTTGCTCATCAAACACTTCTATTATCGTACTTAAGTATCAAAGATCTTAATCAACTTCAAAAGCATCGAATTCTAAATGGATGCTCTTAACAACTTTTATCCAAAAAAATTTGTTATTAATCTTATTAACGTTAGACATAATTAAACTGTCTTTAATTATAATTAAACACCAAAACACCGTACAATTGTCTTCATAAACAAAAATAAAAAAAAAATAAATCTTGATCAAGACTTAGTCTAGGTTTATAAAGTAATTTACTAAGTAAAAAAAATCTTTTAAAGTTTAAAGTTTAATTTAACAATTTTTTTTTAAATATTAGAAAAAATATATATTTTAGATCTCCAGAAATAATTATTAATTAATTATATTAAGGCCTTTCATTAATTACGTGTACAGTTTGAACCCTTTTCCTCCACGTACAGTACAACTGTTCATAGATCCTTTGATATCGAATTTGAAAAGCTTTATAAATATAATAAAGCGGAATCGCACGTTATCAAATTATTTTTTTCGTTTTAAACAGGTTTTCTGTATTTTCTGATAGTTTGACAAGTAAATAGGTTTCTAAGAACAAATTAATATGCCACTAATACCTCGTAAAGTCAACATAGACAATACCTCGACCCCAATGATTTACTTTTCGTGACCCCCCCTTAAATTATATACTAATTAATGAACAACCTCTACTATAATGACCCCCTCTTAAATTGTATATTAATTAATAGACGACCCATACTTTAGTATGATAAAATCTAATTAACATTAACAAACATAGAACCGATTAAGAACACCTTTAACGTCATTAATCAATGCCCATAAATGCCCAAATAAAAATTAATTAATTTAATCGATTTAAATTCTTTTAAAACACTTAAATTATTAATACTTAACATTGTAAAACTATTATTTTTTAAAATTTTATTTACACATTTAATTACCGATATAGCAGTAGTGTGGCTTTAGTAATAAAGTTTAATAAGGATAAATGGAATTTTAACGTCGATAATTAAGGTTCTTAAGTCAATCTATCAAATGTTATTACATTTTCAAATTCCTAACAACGATTATTATTGGATATACTGTCGACGTAATAAATGAAGATGTTTAACACGATTGTTAAGATGATCGTTATTATCAAATAGCCACTAATTATTGTTTGATGATGAATATTAAGAGATTTTAAACATTTAGATATAATTTATAAAATTTAAATCTTTAGATTAAATAATTAATTCAAATTCTAGTTATTAACCTAATTTTTAACTTAATGTTTATGTTAAAATAGCATTTTCTTCAATTGTTAATGTAGCAGTATGGAGAATATTTAGAACAAAAATTCTTGTCGTGCCTTAAAAACGTATTTTTTTATAATAGAAATATTGAGATTTAAACCGATTTTAGTTAAATATTATCAAGTAACTCGATTATTTTTGCTTGAAAGAATCACATTTTTGATAATTGTTACAGCAACAGCCCATAAAGATGGCAGAAGCTGAGATATATGTTTATAAATGTTAAATTTAAAAATGGTTAAGGAGAATATTTTAAAAATTCTGTTAATTTTTTGCTAAGAAAAGCGAAATTTCTTGAATTAGTACTGAAATAGTACAAAAAATAAACTTAAACTTTTAGTTTTATGAGGTTTTAGATGATGTTGGAGAAAGGACAGTCGCAAACTTAAATCAATTTCTTTGAAAAAAAAATGTCATGATTTTAAAATTTATTACTAAAGTAGCATAATGAGAAAAATCGATCTCATACTTTTGAAGTTTTAGACGTAATTTCAAACTCGAACAGTTAATCTTTGTTAAATAAATCATAATTTAAAAAGTGCATTCGTTTTGTTCGAATAACATATCCTATTACGTCAATTTGACGTCTTTCTCATAGTTTTTCTTATGAGAAAGTATGATAATAACGTCGATTTGATGTAAAAGTGTACAAAACGAATGTATCAATATCTTTAAATTATTACTATAGTGGTACAGTACATCGCAAATTTTATCATATAGAAGTTTACGATGGATATTCAAACACGAGTCATAATTTAAATTATTTTCTTTAAAAATAACAATTTTGCAATTATTATTATCGTTGTGANAAATTCCAAGATTCGACGCAGAAAGACCACAAAACGCCATCTGTTTCGGCTCTTGTTTTCGTTTTGCCTCTTTGACTTAATTTTCGTTGGATAGAAGGGGCACATTTTTGGTCCCCTTGATCGGTCTGCCATCTCTAAAACGATTTCACACTTCCCCTCTAGCAGTCTTTATTAAATCTTAGAAATAGCGGCATTATTAAAGCAACGGATGTTTAGTTCCGGATGGATTGACTCCATACTTACACCGTCTGCCACATAAGCTTTAGGTACTCCTTCTGCTGACTAAAGAAGTTTCCAGTTGAAAGATGTAGAGGCGGTTCCATTGAAGCAATGCTACTAAGATTGGTCGACGATTGACTGTTTAAAACTGCTCTTTTATTTGTTGTCTACTAACTGATTACAATAAAAGTACTTTCTCGTCAATGCTCACGTGTCATTCCATGTTTCTATGGTTATAACCCGACAGAATTTTTATTAAAAAATTACTCAAATCCTCTCCACTTACATATATGAACCATATAACAAAATTTATTCGCTTATAAAAAGGTCAAAAACCAAAACTTAAATATTAATAAATAATACAAAATACCTTGAAATAATATACAAATTTTGTTTAAATTAAATTTTATACGTTTAAATAATGTTTTTTTTACCTTTATAAATGATATTACTCGCTTGATTTGTCAGGAATCTTAGTTCTGGATTAGATAGATTACCGAGCTGTAAAACAAAAAATTAATAATTTTTAATTATTTTAAATAGAATTTATTAATGTAATTTTTATAAATAAATTTTAATTATAATTAAATTAAATATTAAAATTGAATACGACGTAAAACTGTTCGGTTTCAGTTTTATTAGAACGTAATAATAAACAGAAAATGATTAATTTATAAGAAAATTAAAATGGAAATTTATTAATTTCAATTTTTAATTGAACAATTAAAGTAAAAATTGATCAGTTTTAATCTTAAACGTAATTAAATAAACAGAAATGTATCAATTTACATTAATTATTATTACTACTTAACATGTAAAAACTTAATTAATTAATTAATTATTATAATAAACATTTAAAATTCTATAATAAATTTATAAATCATTTTTCTCATTTTAAGATATTCAAAAAAGAAAAAAAATTATTTTGATAAATATATTTAAATTAAATCGATTTAATAAAATGCAAAATGTTTATAAATTATATGCAAATTTCAAACCTGAGGCCATAAATTTGATTCGAAATTATTATAAAATTGCAAATTTTGATATTATAAAATTATATTATGTTTTAAATCAATATAACTTATAATTAAAATATTTTTCTACCAAAAAAAAAACAAACAAAAATTTAGTTTAATTTAAGGAATTGTTTTGCAAGGAAAAAGTATTTATTTATTTAAAAATTTATAACAATAATCGTAAAATAGAATTAAAAATCATTAAATTATAAAGTTTTAAACGAATTATTAAACTTTATAATTTATTACAATCAATTTTCTTATCTTAAATCTAACATTTTTGCATATTTCTAAAGTTTCATTAAAAAAAAAAAATGTTATAAATTTTAACGTTTTCTCCCACTTTTTAAAAAATAATTTTAGTTTTAAATTGCCATAAAAACTAAATACGTACGCATAAAATATTTTATAATTTTTGTAATAAAGAATATTAAAAAAAAAAAAGTATTATGATTACAATCACGTCTGTCTGTTTACTCAGAACGAACTCACATCAGAACATATCTATACAATTAAAGTAACATATTACACTTTTTGCAAGATATTTTTTAACGTTTATTAAGTTATTAAACAGGGGAGGAAAAAAGGCTAAAATAAAAAGAATGTATCTTTTTGAAGGTATTAACAACGATATAATTTTCATTAAAGAAACGATTCTTATCCTGTATTCGCCTTTGTAAGCTATCTGATATACGATTATGGAAATATAATGATGTAAATATCATGATGTAACGGTTGATTCGAAAATATAAACCTCATTAAAATGATAAAACNCTAATATATATATATATATATATATATATATATTTCTCTTTCTTTCTACTTTTGATTATTCGTTTACTATTTCTATTCCATTAAATACATTATTAAAATATAAATCTGAAATAATATTGAATAAAAATATCGAAATAAAAGGATTTAAAAGAACTTTCTTTAGTAATAAAATTGCGATTAAATTTAAAATATTTTTTATATTTATTGACGTTTTACGTTAATATTATAATTAGTGGAATTAGAAGTCGATTTATATATCATTATTTAATATATATAATAATCTTATTTTATTTTATCTTTATTAAGTATTTTTAGTTAATTTTTGAAAGAAAAAAAAAACAATTAAAATGTTGTAAAATATTTGAATTATTTTTTGATAAAATTTATCAATTAATATCTTATTTATAAAAAACGAATTAAATATATTCCAGGAAGATGCTATTAACGTAACTCATCTTACAAAAAATATATCATAGAGTTGAAATTTATATACAAAGTACCCTATTTAAAATCGACCCGACTGAGATGTTGAAACATTAGTGATGCAAATTTTATAGGGGACATTTAAAAGGGAAAGTGTATGTGACCAATCTTAAGACTATACGAAAATTGAAGGAAAGCATTCTCTAAAGCATTAAAGCTATCGATATCAGTATTTTACGTATGATTACGTGTACACAAAGATGCATAGATGCACAAGGGCACAACTTTCGGTATCTTCTTTAGGTTTCTGTACGTTTAAATAATGTTAAACTAAAGTTTCTAACGAATATATTTTTGCCTAAATTCATTTGTATCGTTTCTAGTGAGTAGGGCAGATTTTACATGAGGAATTCTATATTATTAATATGTTATAAGTAATCATTATTATTTTCTTAACATAAAATTCTTAAAAATTAACAAAATTTACCTTTAATATTAGAGCTAAACCAACAACACCTTGAGCTCTTTGTTGGGCCTCGGACATATTATCGTATAAATCATAATTATATCCGAAAACCTGTAACTGAATCAATAAAAATTATTAACTTTCTGTTAATTTACCTTACATTTTTATATATAAAATCTGTTACTTCAGCAGGAAAAGCGTGTCCTCCAACAGTATGTTCCGAACCACGTTCATCAGTTCTTCCTATATGCAAATGGGCTTCCGTTATTCTATAATGATAGGTTAAAGGACCCCCTCGAATAACGACTCCCGAGTTGGATGGATTGACTCGAAATATCACACTTCTTCCAGTATTTGAAATTGTGCCACTGACCTTAAAAGTACAAAAATAGCACACATTTAAAGTACTGTATATAGATACGGCATATGATTTACGCTTTCCTGCAAGGCAGACGTTCATAGAGGAGAAGAGACATTTACAGGGGATAAAACGTGATTTGTCTCGAATGGAACATATTCGATTCTATCGTCTGCAAGATGTAATAAAGTTTTTTCTTTAAAGTATAGAATCAAATACATAAATGTCTTCGTAGTAAAAAATAATAAAAATAAATTACATTTTTAGCTTGAATTAACGTTAAAGAAAATTTATTATCTAAACGTAAAATTTCAAACTTTTGTTTCGTTTTTAGTTCCTTTGTACTTTTTAACAATTCAAATTATTTTTCTGTTGTTAGTTATTTAAGAATTTATGGTTTATTTTTTAAAAAAATATCCAAGTTATTTAGACCGGACATCATTAAAAACTTCATAAGAAAGTAAGAGAGAGGAGAAAGCAGACTGTATTATTGCAAGCATCATCTACTTCATCTCCTGTCATTTCTGCATTCTCCTATTCAGCATCTTTTAATAATTCTCATACAAGTGATAGAATGCCTTGCAGTTCGGATGAACTGAAGCGATCGTCAGTCGATCATATAAATATTTAGTACCGTATGATGTACCGAGAACCTAGATCTACGTCTGTCAGTTTTTACATCATTCATCTCTATATTACTCTTATATATCTTTTTTTTTTTTACTTTATAAAAAGTTCAGTCAATCAAAGTAACAAATGACTATATGATTTTTAGTACTTTTCCCCCTTTCTTTAATTTTTATTTTGATAAAAAAAATTTCTGTATTAATATCACGAAGTCGAAAAAATAATATTGCCTTTTTATAACTTTTATCCACCGGTTGAAAAATATCATTTATAGAGGTATAAAATTTATCGCCAGAAAATCCTTGGAGAACTCAACCAAGATTGCTAAGAAGCAATTCTGATATAAAATCGTGAAACTTTCAAGTATTATAAGCGATAAAATCTAAGTAGGGATTTGTTTAACGACGTTAAATATCAAATGAAACAAAATGAAACAGATTTTACACAATTATTTTTACTTAAATCCTAAAACTAGCATCTGGAAGCTATAAATCACAGCAATTGTTAAAAAAAACTTATATTAAAATATATAAATTTTGCATAATTTTCAATCGCTTACCCTGTGACTATCAACATGGAGAGGACCTAAAGTCGGGTCGTAGAGCAGGACGGAGGGGTCAATATCGACTGGTGATTGATGTCGACCTCTGTTGCATAATCTCCAATCCGGATTAAGTAATCCCCAGTAATCTGGACCTATAAAAATATAGTTAAGATGTGAGAAAAAATCAAAGTAAAAAGTTCTCACGTAGGAATGATGCGATGTCAAACTCGACAAAATCCTTCGAACAAGGTTATTGTCAACAGAATATAAACAACGTTACGCCTTTTCTAAACACCACAGAAAAGATGTCACTTCCAGCGTGCCAATGTTGAAGTGTGACAAATTACTGTTGTGCCAGTCGAGTTGTCAGCCACAGTTTCACTTGTCACATCAAACCCTTCCTGTTGCATTGGCATTCAGCCAGTTTGGCTTAATTTCGTTCGACAGAATTTACAGACTTTTATGAGCTCTTTTTCGGAAAGAAAAATGGCGAATTTTATAACAAGAAAATGTAATATTTGAAAGTACTTTTTTTATTTTATTATTATTTTTTTCAACGTTCGAAAAGATAAAAGCGTGAAAAAGAAATCATTACCGGGATGCCATACATTTTTATGTTAGTCTCTCAGTTTACATAAGTTTTATTTATAAATGTTTATTGTTTTGCTATAAGGTTCTAAGCTAGAATAGATGTTAGAGAATCGACTTCTCCTCTTACAGGTAACAGTTATGGAATACTTATACGTGTGACACTACTATACGAAATCATGAGCAGATGAAAAGGATCTCCCCACCGGGACTTCCTGCTACTTCCGGATGATTAGACTTAAGTGATGCCGTCCGGTCGGATTCTTGATTCGATCGAGAGTCATTCACTCTGTCGGAATTCCGGTTACTTGGAGGATTGAACATTCCGACCTTCTCCTATCGTTCGGCAGTGAACAAATTGGATCAGTACAAAAGAAAGTTACTGAAACTCCTCGACTATATTCATAGTCGCAGCTACGAAAAGAGGAGGAAAGTAACAAAAGCGTCACTACCATCCTTTGAGGAATTCTCTATTTTAAATGCCAACATTATACGCATCGTCATATTTACTTTCTTTCTTTGAATAAAGCAAGGAAGTCAATATAAAGATGCGTATAATACGCGGATCAACTTATTATATGCAAATATATATATATAAACGTGCCCTAACGTGTATTTTAACATCAAGTTTAATTTTCTATAGACAGGCTATTGTTTTTCATTACGATTGAGAGAATGCTATCGGTTAAATCTTTAAAATGCTTTAAAAAGTAAAATTTTAATGTGTTTTTATTTATACTAAACTATATTTTCATATATAACTTTAAAATATTACGTTTTAGGATCTGTAGAAATATGTAAAGTTATTGGAATTTACTTATTTACTTTAGATTAAGGTAATTTATATTATAGCAGGAAGTCCCGGTGGGGAGATCCTTTTCATCTGCTCATGATTTCGTATAGTAGTGTCACACGTATAAGTATTCCATAACTGTTACCTGTACCTAAATATTTGGAGATTAAATGTAATTGTAAATTAATATTAATATACAATTAATATCTGTTAGCATAGATATTAAAGATTCACTTTAAAACATATTTAAACATTTACACCAACATTCGTTTTATTTTTTCATATATAAATATAATAATTCCTTCAAAAACATTTAAAACTATTTTAAAAATATTTTTATATACTTTAAAATTGTATCATTCATACAGATAAATCAGTATATTTCAGCATGCTAAACTTCTGTACTAATGATAATACACCAGAAAAGTATTATATATTAAATTCTTATTAAAATGCAAATGGAAGCGCATATTCTTAATATTTTATAAGTAAATAAATGAAAAAGCAGATCCTTTAACATCAAAGATGCGATGTTTTCAAATTTTAGAATGATAACCATCCAACATATCTACGTATCATAACTTCGCTTTGAATAGTAGAGACAAGATCGATTAATATGTTAAAAAATGCCGAATATTTTTGAAAAAAAAAGAATTTTACAATAGAAATATATCCATTAAAATGTGACATTAAAGATTTCATATTTTAGGATTTATGTTATCATCTTCCGCATCTGCATATTCATTCCTTATTTAAGAGATTTATCATCGATTAATACGCTAAAACACAAGGAAAAAAAATCAAATTTATCGTTATGGATAATCGATACGATAAAGAATAATCGATTTTCTGTTTACGACTTCTTCAAGAATTCGATCATCTCAGTTGAAACATTATGGATTTAAGATCAAAATATTGTTAATCGAAATGTGAAAAATCGATTAATCGTTTCTAAAAAGTATAATCTTTTTCCTCTTTCCTCTTCTTACTTTTTTTTATAGAAAGTTAACGAGCCTTTGATTATTTTAAAAGATGAAGATTGTTTTTGTTTAAATTAATAGAATATTCTTTTCTTAAAAACTTTTATATATATATATATATATATATATATTATTTTATTATTATTTTTTTTTCGTTAAACAGTTAACGAGTAAAAAATTTAATTATTAAAATAATATTTTTAGAATTCTTTTTTAATGAGATTCTACCTAAATTTCGTAAAATGGAAGCAAAAACAAGAATTAAGATATGTAAATTTTTATAATTTTCTCTAAACAATACGTACGTAGGTATACAAAGAAAAAACAGGAATCTAATTACTGAACAAGAAGATAAGTATCATACAAATGGTAAACATTAAAAGTAAGAAAAATTAATATATATACGTTTTTTAATTTAAGAATTTCAAAAATTTTTATCACAAACTTCTCGTTTCGAGAAACTTAAATCCCAAGAAGACATTCAAAACACGATATCTTAAACGAACATGAACTTAATTAAGTTCCAACTCACAAGACATAAATACCAATTATATACATTTAATTTGATTAATTTATTGTTCATTATGACTTTATCATTTCCTAAAATTTTACTTTTTTTTTTATATATATGATTATAAACTTATTTTATTTTTCCATTTGCATTTTATAACAAGAAAATGTAATATTTGAAAGTACTTTTTTTATTTTATTATTATTTTTTTCAACGTTCGAAAAGATAAAAGCGTGAAAAAGAAATCNTTTTATAGTTATATAAGAAATAAAATTATTATTATTTTTTGAATAATTATAAAATATGTTTTATTAAAAAGTGTGATATTTAATAATGTAAAAAAAATCAAATATAAATAGATATTTTACGAAATATTGCAATATTTTTAAATAGTCTGAACTTTTGATAGCTTTCTACATTGAGTATTCTTGCTTTTTTTAATCATTTTCATTAATTTAATACTGCAATTTTTATGTTTAAGGAGAGAAAAAACTTCTTAAAGATGTGATTTAGTATGACGATATCTCAAATAATACTTTTTTATTTAGTAACATAATTAAAAATGGCTGAATTTTTACGTATATTTTTAATAAAAAATGAAATGAAAAAATAGAATTCTGTTTAGTAAACAAGAAGAAAAACTATGTGTAAATAATTGAATTCTTTTACCTGATATGCCATCATATGTCCACCATTCTTCCCAATTTGCTTCTAATTCTATTAAAAAATATATAAAAATATAAAATTTAATTGGAAGTATAAAATTAATGAATTGTCACAGTAAGTAATCCAGTTAAGTTCTAATATAAGACCACAATTCGAAAAGAATTTGAAAAAATTCCCTTGCAGACAACGTTAAAAAGATACAGTGAGCCCATTATCTGCTTGCTCCTATCGTTAACTTAAGAAGATCGAAACTAAGGTGCGGGCCAATCGTCCCATTGAAGAAATGTAGTAAATCTCTCCACCAAACAGACAACACATGCTATTTACATCGCAGAAAACGATAGAAGTTCAAACGTTCTTCCCACGTTCGAGTTCGATAATGAACCACTTGGGGGGAGTTTAAAGAACAACAGGAGAATTTGTCTTGTCCCCTTGATAACACAAGTTCGATTTCGTATTACTGCCTTTCTGGAGTCAATAATTTAACAGCTTCTTCTAAACTCTTCTTTTACTTTATTTATAGCTACAATACTTTGGATAATTTATCTCTTTCTTTTCCCTTTTAAGTAAATTTTAATTATTTTATTTACTGTAAATCTGACAGATANAATGGAAGCAAAAACAAGAATTAAGATATGTAAATTTTTATAATTTTCTCTAAACAATACGTACGTAGGTATACAAAGAAAAAACAGGAATCTAATTACTGAACAAGAAGATAAGTATCATACAAATGGTAAACATTAAAAGTAAGAAAAATTAATATATATACGTTTTTTAATTTAAGAATTTCAAAAATTTTTATCACAAACTTCTCGTTTCGAGAAACTTAAATCCCAAGAAGACATTCAAAACACGATATCTTAAACGAACATGAACTTAATTAAGTTCCAACTCACAAGACATAAATACCAATTATATACATTTAATTTGATTAATTTATTGTTCATTATGACTTTATCATTTCCTAAAATTTTACTTTTTTTTTTATATATATGATTATAAACTTATTTTATTTTTCCATTTGCATCTTTAACATATCTGGAAACTGAATTTTTAATGTTTATTTTCTTCCTGTATTTAATAATTTTCATCTCAAAAGATTTAAAAATTAATTATTAATATAAAAATTAATATTAAAACATATGTTTTAGAAAATTTGAGTTTATTTTTAACAAAAACAAATGAATTTTATATGATATTCTTCCATATTGCAACACGATTTAATATATTTGATTAATATTGTAAGCTTAAGAATTTATTAATTACTTTTCTAATTTTACATGAAATAAATTTGGAATATTATAAAATGTTTTTATTTTAAAATTTCACACTCGCTTCTTATTTAAAAAAAACACAACAAAATTTGTTAATAATAAACATTAAACTTCAAAAAATTCCATATAAATTTGCTGATAGTTAAATATATTGTAATATAAATTTTATAAATGAATGGTAATATACTACAAAATATAATTAAGATAGTTTTTATTATGTAAATAATTGAATTCTTTTACCTGATATGCCATCATATGTCCACCATTCTTCCCAATTTGCTTCTAATTCTATTAAAAAATATATAAAAATATAAAATTTAATTGGAAGTATAAAATTAATGAATTGTCACAGTAAGTAATCCAGTTAAGTTCTAATATAAGACCACAATTCGAAAAGAATTTGAAAAAATTCCCTTGCAGACAACGTTAAAAAGATACAGTGAGCCCATTATCTGCTTGCTCCTATCGTTAACTTAAGAAGATCGAAACTAAGGTGCGGGCCAATCGTCCCATTGAAGAAATGTAGTAAATCTCTCCACCAAACAGACAACACATGCTATTTACATCGCAGAAAACGATAGAAGTTCAAACGTTCTTCCCACGTTCGAGTTCGATAATGAACCACTTGGGGGGAGTTTAAAGAACAACAGGAGAATTTGTCTTGTCCCCTTGATAACACAAGTTCGATTTCGTATTACTGCCTTTCTGGAGTCAATAATTTAACAGCTTCTTCTAAACTCTTCTTTTACTTTATTTATAGCTACAATACTTTGGATAATTTATCTCTTTCTTTTCCCTTTTAAGTAAATTTTAATTATTTTATTTACTGTAAATCTGACAGATATTTTAGTCGATTTTCTAATGTAAAATTATTTTTTTTGTATGGAAAATTTTGGTATATTTTACTATTATATACACATATATATTACTATTATTATATACGAGTATTGTGTTACAAGTTATAAAATGTTATTATTGTAATACGTGGAAATATTTGTAATGTTATCATTATTGCAAAATTTTAAGATATAATTTTAATTTGTAATAATTATTTTTGCAATTTTGTAAATGTTTTATTTTATATACTGTTGTAATTGTTACAATTTCGTAAATTTGTTATATTATTGTAAATACTATAAAATAAATGCTACCATTAGAAATAGTATCCTTTAACAATTGTAAGAACTAGATTAAAAATACAAATACTACAATAAATTAATTAGAGTATTTAATTGTAATCGAATAATTATAATGTTAGTATTTAATTATACTAAATATTATAGTAATATAGTACAATTATCATACGTACAATGTAGAAATAGTTACTGTAGCATATCTAAGTACTTACAAGTTAACAGCAATGATCACAGTGATTACAGTATTATCTACGTCATGCCATTTAATTTAGGATAACGTAAAAAGTATCATTATAAATATTTATTATAAAATATTCAAGTATTAGGCATATCATTCATAAATTACGCAACGCTATTTTTACACTTTTCAACTGCCATCACACCCACCTGCAATGCTCCGTAACGCTATCGCACGTACCCAACCCTAAAATTACCTAACGCATATCCTCGATCAACCCCTTAATTGTAATAAGGAATAATACACAGCACGGATATCGAACTTTAAATTATTTTATTAATTACGTACAAAGTAGTGGCATAAATAGTAAATTAATTTCGATACGAAACACAAGAACACAAAATAATTCAACAGCTTAGCAACAGCATAAAAATACATTGTTTTCTAGAAGATAATAATTGCCTCGTTATGTTATTCGTTATTTATATTAATTTTTTGTTACTTTTGCTTAATATTCAAATATTTAAACGTTGTTATTCTTTTATTGTAGTCTAGTTTGGAACGATATTTAACGATAAAATTATGTTTCAAGAAAAATTGTAGCCTGAGGATGGCCTATTAGACTAGGTTGAAAACGTTTGCTAAATAAAAGCGAATTCTAGCAGCCAAAAAGGTGTTTATAGATTTATTTTGATATGAAACACTTCAGAAACAAAATGAACCATTGTTCCCATAGGTCGACCCATAGGTAACAATGGTTTACAATGAACATGGGTAACAGTAGTTTATGTTGAACATGGGTAACACTAGTTTACGATGAACATGGGTAACAATGGTTTACAATGAACATGGGTAACAGTAGTTTATGTTGAACATGGGTAACACTAGTTTACGATGAACATGGGTAACAATGGTTTACAATGAACATGGGTAACAATAGCTTACGATGAACATGGGTAACAACGGGTAACAATGGTTTACAATGAACATGAATAACAATGGGTAACAATAGTTTTTTAAACATTTTACCATTTTGTAACGCATCGTAACGATTCCTTAAATAACGCAATAATTTGTTTTACGTTATTTAAGGAATCGTTACGATGCGTTACAAGAAAACAGCCCCTGATAGCACATTTACAATATTGAATTAATATTATTAAATATGTTATCATAATTGAATACAAAGTAAATCTAGAATTCATGAAAATTTCAGATTTATTTTCATTAAAAAGTCAGAAAAAAAAATCACTAAAATACATCTTTTCTTATAATAATTCAAGCGTATCTTCGAAAATAAACAAACTTAAANTTTCATTTTTTTCCTTTCAATTTAACATATATATAAATTCTACACGAAAAATAACAATTTTAAATGTATTCCTATTACATTTAATAATTGAAAATTTAAAATATCAAAAACTGAATATTGTCTAATTTAATATTTAAAATAACGAAAAAAATAAGATAGAGAATATCAATTTATTAATTAACTTTTTGTGTAAAATATAATGTAATTTTACAATGAATCAATGAAGTCTTTTAATGTTTAAATGGTAAGTTAATAGAATATAAAATGGTATTTAACTTAATTATAATAAGTAATAATTATTATTATTTTAACTTTAAAACATTGTCGAAAATGCTGCTATGACAACAAAATTAATTCGGACATTTTTATATTAGAAAATTGAAAAGAAATAAATTCCAACAAATTTTCACAAAAGTCATCGGTTGCCAAGTTGGCAATTTCCTACTCGTAAAATGGGGAATAAAAAACTTGCAGGGGGTTACAACTGAATCAATAATATCGGTCTCTTTACCTCTTCAAAGAAAGGCACAGCAATATCGGTTTAAAGGAAAAGTAGACAATAGTTTAAGAGTATGCATATTTTATAATATATGTTATCACTTAATTTTTAAAGAATAATTAAATTAAATGATCCTATCGTAACTCCACATATAAAAAAATACTTCATAAAGAAATGATATCAATAATTATTCAGATGATCACTTCTTTGAAATGGTTATAACTTTTGATTAATTCAAAATACGATTTTTTTAATTATATAAACCAGTTTATATATATGCAGTTAATTAAAGCAACAGATAAGAAAATAATAATACGCCTATTTTGGATTAATGTAAGGCTTTTATGCATAAAAATGCACGTGTTTTATAAGTTTCTATTATAGAAAACTTCAGAAAACAATTTTTTAATATACTATAACATATGTATATATATATATATATATAAACATAACAAATACATAAGTAATTCACATAATTAGCATAAATATTGAGATAAATAATGAAAAATTTCATTAAAATCTACATTAAATGTACTACACTAGAATTTAAAATATAAAATATTTACTTACCTAATAAAAAAGCCACAATCACAATAATATCATAGAAACATTTCGATAGCCACATCACAATTATAACATTTAAAAAATAAATAAATAAATAAATGTTTTTCCAGTACACGTGGTGTGCACTATTACGTCAGTGCATGAGAACACGTGATAATAATTACACTGATTTCAAAGCAAAATGTATATCCTTTTGTGTTCGTTCTTTAATAGTAAGAAGTTAAGTTACTTCACCTCATGCTACTTTGCTCCTTCCAAAATTCAGCAACCGTCCAATCAGGGGGCGATTCGTTTACTGGCTGACTACAGTCAGCAGACGACAGAATGAAGTTTTCGATTGTCCTGCCACAGCGGTGAATATAGGAACCATTAATTGAACAAAATTTTCAATATATTTACATATAATTAAGACTCATTTCGTTTACTTTTACTATTTATTCTAATAAACGACATATTATAATTGTATTTTTGTATAAACTTTTATCGTTAAATCATATTAAGTAAATTAAATCGATATTTTTAATCGACGTTTTTAAAAAATAGTAAAAGATGTAAAAAATTTAATTAAATTCGAAATGATCATTTTATCGTAAATAGTGAAAGTGAAATTGATCAGCGCGTGCGATGAATGGCAGAACGTGCTATGAATGAAAGCGATTAGCTCGTGAAATGAATGAATGGGTATTTACCACGTGCGATGAAAGTAAATACTTTTACTTTCACTATTAATAATAAAAAAAATCCAAATAAATAAAATCGAAAGTATGAAGTTATTTCAATTATTATTAAAAATATTTTTATATACTTTAAAATTGTATCATTCATACAGATAAATCAGTATATTTCAGCATGCTAAACTTCTGTACTAATGATAATACACCAGAAAAGTATTATATATTAAATTCTTATTAAAATGCAAATGGAAGCGCATATTCTTAATATTTTATAAGTAAATAAATGAAAAAGCAGATCCTTTAACATCAAAGATGCGATGTTTTCAAATTTTAGAATGATAACCATCCAACATATCTACGTATCATAACTTCGCTTTGAATATTAGAGACAAGATCGATTAATATGTTAAAAAATGCCGAATATTTTTGAAAAAAAAAGAATTTTACAATAGAAATATATCCATTAAAATGTGACATTAAAGATTTCATATTTTAGGATTTATGTTATCATCTTCCGCATCTGCATATTCATTCCTTATTTAAGAGATTTATCATCGATTAATACGCTAAAACACAAGGAAAAAAAATCAAATTTATCGTTATGGATAATCGATACGATAAAGAATAATCGATTTTCTGTTTACGACTTCTTCAAGAATTCGATCATCTCAGTTGAAACATTATGGATTTAAGATCAAAATATTGTTAATCGAAATGTGAAAAATCGATTAATCGTTTCTAAAAAGTATAATCTTTTTCCTCTTTCCTCTTCTTACTTTTTTTTATAGAAAGTTAACGAGCCTTTGATTATTTTAAAAGATGAAGATTGTTTTTGTTTAAATTAATAGAATATTCTTTTCTTAAAAACTTTTATATATATATATATATATATATATATTATTTTATTATTATTTTTTTTTCGTTAAACAGTTAACGAGTAAAAAATTTAATTATTAAAATAATATTTTTAGAATTCTTTTTTAATGAGATTCTACCTAAATTTCGTAAAATGGAAGCAAAAACAAGAATTAAGATATGTAAATTTTTATAATTTTCTCTAAACAATACGTACGTAGGTATACAAAGAAAAAACAGGAATCTAATTACTGAACAAGAAGATAAGTATCATACAAATGGTAAACATTAAAAGTAAGAAAAATTAATATATATACGTTTTTTAATTTAAGAATTTCAAAAATTTTTATCACAAACTTCTCGTTTCGAGAAACTTAAATCCCAAGAAGACATTCAAAACACGATATCTTAAACGAACATGAACTTAATTAAGTTCCAACTCACAAGACATAAATACCAATTATATACATTTAATTTGATTAATTTATTGTTCATTATGACTTTATCATTTCCTAAAATTTTACTTTTTTTTTTATATATATGATTATAAACTTATTTTATTTTTCCATTTGCATCTTTAACATATCTGGAAACTGAATTTTTAATGTTTATTTTCTTCCTGTATTTAATAATTTTCATCTCAAAAGATTTAAAAATTAATTATTAATATAAAAATTAATATTAAAACATATGTTTTAGAAAATTTGAGTTTATTTTTAACAAAAACAAATGAATTTTATATGATATTCTTCCATATTGCAACACGATTTAATATATTTGATTAATATTGTAAGCTTAAGAATTTATTAATTACTTTTCTAATTTTACATGAAATAAATTTGGAATATTATAAAATGTTTTTATTTTAAAATTACAATCNGGAATTAAAACCTGTAGAGACAAACGAATTAGGAAACAAAGTTCATTTTATTTTCCAAAAGAAAATCAATTTTATAAAAATATAGATTTTAAATTTTATAAAAACGTTTTAGTTTTACAAAAAAAAAAAAATTTTTAAATACTCTTGTTAAATGTAATTTATAATCAAGTAGGTTTTAGGATTGTTAAACTTTACCTCACATAACTCACATAACACATTCAATCCTTTATGCCAACTGTAACTACAGTTTCAGCTGTTATAACCACAGTATTGGCAATATACCAATATCTTTTGAATTACGATGGGTAAGTGACGAAGCTATAGTAATATATATTCCTATCGTCACCTGTTGTATTCGCTTATGGAGTAGTATACTATGTATCATAATATACAATCTTTACAATCTAGGTATTTAGCATTTCCATTTATCGCAAGATGGACTTGTCTAACGTTAATTAAACGTGGTTTATCACACAGAATTATTGATTGGTTACCAAAATTGCAATTTTAATTAACATTGATTGAATTACAAGCATCAACCTGTGTTCGTCATGTTTCATTCCATCTCAGCTTTATTAATAATATCGGTTAGTTTATATAGATTTATCAATAAATAAACTTTGAGCTACTGTAATTTTCAAAACATTGATTTATAAATATTAATATTTTAGTTTTGTTTATAATTAAAATTATAGTTTTAGCTTTATTTAATAAATACATATATGAGCTCTGTTATTAAATATTTTTATTAATTAATTATGTATTCTAATGTAAATTTATGTAAATTTTGTTTCTATGTGTAAATCTATAACATAGAATCTCGATTACTTAATATCGAGATCGAATTATGAGAACTTAACTATGCACAGATTTAATCTAGAATCAATTGTAGATAATTAAATTGTATTATTCTTTTTAGGATATTAAAAAAATTATATATTATTTAAAACATATCGATTAAATCAATATCGTATCTCATACCTCAAATTTCAATATAAATAATTAATAATAACAATTAATCAGTTATAAAACATATTTTATATATAAATTTTACGTTAATAAATATATATTTAAATTTATTCAGTATTTTAGTCTATTTATGTTATTTTCTTATTTTTAAATTTATTTTCTGCTATTGTAAATAATTTTTTTTTAAATTATATTATTTTATTAACATACTTTTTTCTTGCTATTTTGTTAATTTGAACATTCATTTTCTGTAATTTTTGTCGTTTAATTTACGGTTTGTTAATTTAATTTTCTTTTCTTTTTATATTTTCATTAAAATACAATTTCTATTATTTCATTTATTTATCAAATTTCATTAGTTTATGTCATTATAATTTATTTATTGTTATAATCTTCCTTATTTTCTTTACGAACTAATTTAATTATATATAGTTTTGTTTGATATTTTAATTTTCTTTTTTGTTTTATTTCTAAATTTTATTTATGTTATTTATTTTTTTGCTTTTTTTTCCCTTTTTGATGACATTCGTTAACTTACTTCGTTAAATAAAAGGGGAGGGAAGAGAATAAAGAAAAATCGAGTTTGTTAAACTCCAGTTAAATGTTCGTAAACGGTTAATTAAAATATTTTATTATGAAGAAAAATTTATTCAAAGTAGGATTTATTTACCAAATCCCAAATTACATTCAATTAAGATTTATTACTTTCACTCTAATTAAATAGCTATAATCAAACTTATTAATTTTTTTAGTTAATTCAACAATTTTAATTAAATGTTTACAAAATCCGGATTTATTTATTTCTTTTAATTTGAACTAAATTGCTAAATTTAAATTTTAAAAACTTGTTAATCTTATTTTTCTAAAAATTATTATTATTATTTTTTTTAAATTTTAACTTTAGTAATTTATTTAAAGGTGATATATTTATTAAAATGGTAAATAAATTACCTTTAGGAGTGTATACATATATATAATATTTTAATTTTTTTTATTAAAATATAATAATTGATTTAAATTTTATATATTCCCATAG